GGGTTAACCCTTGGGCAGACGGACACAGCTGCCACCCCAGCCAGCGTGCCCCGCCCGCGCCTCCCGGGGCACAGCAGGTCACTGAGAGGCCAGGACCCCAGCTTTAAAGTGGCAACCTTTCTCAGGCTGGACAGTTTCTCTTTCATTGCTGTTTGAGAGGGTGGGTGGGGGAAGAACAAGGCCACTTATTGCTGAGCAGGAAAATGTGCCCAAGGAAGCCACTTGGGAGGCTGCTCCTAAATCTGCCACCGTCCCTACTTGGGTCCTAGACTTGTGCAGGTCTTCTGTGGTCCAGAGAAAATCCCGCCTGACCCTTTAAGCGTTTCCTACCCCTCTGTAACGCTGCCCAGATGTCGGTAGCCCTAGCTCACCCCCTCCCCGCCCCCAGTGCTGTGCTAAGGACATCCAGTCCGGCCTCTTCCTAGAAGGGCTTTGGTCAAGGGCACAGCAAAATGGGAGTAGAGCCCAGTTAGACTAGCTCTTAATCCTGAGTTTTCCGGCTGTCCCAGCTGACTGACCCCTGTGGTTTAGCAGATTTCAATTCCACTTTGAAATCCTTGATGTCTGCCACTTCTTACCGCTGCAGTCCAGCACCACTGGCCACCAGCTTTCAGGGCCACAGGGGCATCTATACCTCACCTGCCTGGACCATTACAGCAGCTTCCTAACTGGCTTGGTTTAAACCATCTCTCTGCTTCCAGTTCGCCATCATCATGATCAGCATCTTCTATGGTTAGGAGACTCCGTTAAAAAATATTCTAGAGGGAGGGGTGAATAGGCAGAGCCGAAAGGTTCTGAGAGTGGTGACAAACTGTGCTGTGATAATATGATGGTAGCTATGTGCCATTAACCAGTTGTCAAAACCCATCAAATGTCCCACGCCAGGAACAAACCCTGATGAGAGCTCTGGACTCTGGGTGATAATTCAGTGTCTATGCATTCTCCTCATTGTAACAAGCATAGAACGCAGGTGGGGAGACAGGGGCTGTGTGCAGACTCTCTGTACTCTGTTCATCTTTGTTGTGATCCTAAAACTGCTCTAAAAATAAAGTCTGTTAAAAACACATTTTGTAAGCTGGGGATTTTTAAACTTAAGGTAAACTCCATTTATGGATAATGAAGTCAATTTACTGGGTCACTGACAGTATTTTTCTGTAATGAGACAGTACAAAACGGAATACATTAGGATACTACACACCAAAGGATTGTTTCACAAAATTTGTTTTTAGAAATGTACTTTATTTCCACTTAGAATCAACCAATGACATATTACTATAGAACAAGACATCAAGGCTCAGAAAGGTTGAGTCTTAATAACAGTTAACTTTCTTATTCTACATGTACCATGCACCAAGCGCTCTCTGACTCTATTTTTCTAATTTAATTCCTAGAGCAACACTGAGGAAACAAGATGTCATGTCACCTGTGAGTTTACCCAGTGAAGGAGGATTTGACCCCAGGCCTGCCGAGCTCTGAAGTCTATCCTTGTCTTTAATACAGAACATCACACTACCTCCTACACACATTCCATATTCATCTTCTAACCCTTATTGGGGTTATACCCCTTGTAAGTTGTCTTCAGTTGCTCCCTAGTACCTCCAAGGTTAAGTTCAAATTACACCTTAGTCTGAGCTAAATTCCTTTAGAAACACCCATTCAGGCTCGGCACCTGTGGCTCAAATGGTTAAGGCGCCAGCCACATACACCTAAGGTGGTGGTGGGTTCTAATCCAGCCCACCAAAACAACAGTGACGGCTGCAACCAAAAAATAGCCAGACATTGTAGCAGGCGCCTGTGGACCTAGCTGCTTGGGAGGCTGACACAGGAGACTCACTTGAGCCCAGGAGTTGGAGGTTGCTGTGAGCTGTGATGCCACAGCACTCTATCCAAGGCAATGGCTTGAGGTTCTGTCTCAAAAAAAAAAGAACGAAAGAAAAGAAAAGAAACACCCATTCAATCACTTATTCAAGAAGTTATTGAGCTCTTATGGCGCACATGCACACACACCTCCCAAGGTATGGGGACAAGGTTTGTACTCCAGTGAAAAATATACTTTTTTGTGCATAGAGATTAAAGTTTGGGTTACCTTGCAATAAAGAGAAGCTGCACAAGGAGTGGTGCTTTCTGGATTTCCCCACAGGGGGCGCTGAGGGGAGGCCATCTGTCTAGAAGAGGGAGGGGCTGCTTTTGCTCAGAAGCTCAGAAGTCACAGGCTGGTTTGTATCCAGGTGTCTGATAGAGATCACCTAGGAGGACTCCCACCACCACCCCTTGGTACCATGGCTGTGTGCAAGATGCTGCTGGAACCCAGGAATTTGCAGACACTTCGGCCAGCCCTGGGATTTTAGTTTATGGACTGAGTGCTGACACAGAGAGGTCAACGCCACTAGAATTCTTCATTACTTACATGTCCTGAGACCATGCAGAAGCAGGGACGAGGGTAAAAGACGGCTGGGGTCTCTACTGGGGCTTCCAGGGGAAGGCAAAGCAGGTCAGAGAGCAGACTGGGGTTGGCTCCCTGGAATGATCTTGGTGGGCTTTGGACTACAGGCCTGATCTTGGGTTGTCTGGTGCCTGGCCTGGGATGGCTTAGAGCAGGGCAGATATCTATTTGGTGTGTGAGAGGCTGCTAAGGAGGTGGTTGGGGTGGGTTTGGAGTGGGCTGGCTTAGGTTTGAAAACTGTGCACCCTGCTAGGGGAAGACAGGGTTGTAAATCAAGGTCAGGCAAGAAGAAACCAGCCTTCAGCCTGAAGGTAAAGTAGGAAAGAGATGTGAGGGGCAAACCCTGCTCTGTGGGGATCAGCCGTATTTTTGGGGAGTGGAAGCCTGGCATTCCCACATCTGGGGCACTTTATCATTCTTGTGCTATCATTTACTGAATGGGACCAGAGTGATGGTGAGTGGAGGCCTTGAAGGCTCTGACATTTACTGAGGGTGTGAGGTTGTGGGTCAGATTGTATCCCCCTCAAAAGACATATTCAAATCCTAACCCCTGTCCTTGTGAATGTGAACGTATTTGGAAATTGGGTCTTTGCAGATGTAAGTGAGATCGTCTTGGAGTAGGGTAGACCCCTAAGTCCAATCACCAGTGTCCTTACAAGACAGGGAGACTGCCATGTGATGACGTAGGTGGAGATCCGGATGATGGTGCCACATGCCAAGGAATTCCAAGGACTGGTGGAAACCACTAGAAGCTAGAGGAGAAGCACAAAGGAATTCTTGGGGATTCTCTGAGTCCCCAAGAGGGAACTACCCCTGACAACACCTTGATGTTGATGGAAAAGAAGCCATAGTCTGTAAAGTAATTTAAAGAGGTTCCTTCTGGCTGGTCCGAAGGCCGTGAGTCATCTCACTTGATTGTTCACAATCATTACAGATTGAACTCCTTGTTCTGCTCTTCTCCCCCTTCTCACTACTGCACTTGACTAGTCTTAAAAGAAAGAAATTAGAGATTCATTCTAAGCCAAATTTGAGGACCCCGACCTGGAGCCACACCCAAGAAGTCTTGAGCAAGTGGGCTCGCAGTGGTGGGGTTACAGTTTGGTTTTATACATTTCAGGGAGACAGGAATTCCAGGTCATAAATCAATACATGGAAAACACTGGTTTGGTCCAAAAGGATGGGATGTCTAGACATGGGAACCCACAGATTAACCCACAGGTGGATTTAAAGATTCTTTAGCTAACAATTAGCTGAAGGAGTTAAGCTTTGTCTAATAGACCAGGAGTCACTGAAAAGGAACCCTGAAAAGGGTTAAGCTAAAGTCCTGTTGATCAGAGACAAACTACAGGCCATATGCCCAGACTCAAGTGGTTTGTTATGCATATTGAGGACTCCCAGATGTGCTTTGCATAGTCTTGGGCGGGTAATGAACGCAGAGGACATCTCTAAGGAGAGGGGGCTTGACAAAGCATGTCTGATATCCTTTCTCATGGCCAGAAACTCCGTCTTAGGGATCCCCTTGGCCAAAAGCCACTTGGGGAGCGCCTTAAGATTTTATTTCAGTCTTTCTCCCCTTTCCACCTCCACCAGAGGAACCCACTTCATCTCTCTTTGGATGTGCTCTAAACTTTCTCTTTGTTCTTCCTAAATAAAATCTCTCTTTGTTATCTTGAAAAAAATATATTTATTTTAGTTCACTTCGGTTTAAGACATACGGCCTCTGGAACAGTGAAAGAATAAATTTCTGCTATTTTAAACCACCAGTTTGTGATATTTTGTTATGGTATACTACTACATACTAACATACCACTGCATGTAACCTCGGTGAGTTATTTCACTTCTTCAGATCTCAGGTATTTCATCTGTAGACTAAGGACACAGCCACCATACAATGGCTCAGAATACACCCAGAACAGGGCTAGGTGGAGCCAAAAGCACTGGGGTGGGCATGGCCGTGGGCATGGCCAAGCGCTTTGGCTGCCCCTGAGAAGGGAT